CAACAACAGTCAGGGGTTCAGGCTGTTTGACTCCCCTGCCACCTGCCCATTACCACCTGCACCGTGCCTCTGCTTTCCCCACTACAGCAGTGGGGAGAATGAATTTAAGACAACCTTCCATTAATTTGATTTTAGACATGGAAAATTATAGCAAATTTATACATTTTCCATGTCTAGCATCTAATTAATGTCGGGTCATCTTAAATTTAGACTTGTCTTGGATTCAGGTAAGTATGTTAATACCCTAACTTCTGAGTAGTCTTTGTTTGGTTGAGTGCAGTTCTTTACTGTCTATTAAAGGGAAGAAAAATCTTGCAGATTTCTCAGTATTATCCGTTTTTTAAAGAGAGGCAAAGATTTTTTTTTTATTAGACAAACTGTATAGTAGGGATAAAGTTAGACAAGCTTTTGAATGCAAATGATTGAAATGAATGCAAATTCCAAAGCTTGTCTAACTTTATCCCAAATATATAGTTGGTATAATAAAAGATGTTACTCAAAAAAATCTTTGCCTCTTGCATAATTCCTGGGCTATCACAGCTGTGGCATTCCTGTTTTTTAAAGATATGCAAGCAGACAACTGTAGTTGGGGAGAGGTTAAGGCAGTCTTTTGCAGCTCTCCTTGGTGTCCAGTGGAATCTCTGTATTTCTCTTTTACAGATAGTACCACTAATTTAGGGGGAGCTTCTTTGAAGAGTAAAAAAAAAAAATCCGGCATTGGAATGTGATTTTCTTCTTGAGAGAAGGAAGGTTTAAGATCAAAAAGGGATTTTCAGAAGCACATAGGTGTCTTAGGAGCACAAAACCTATTGCAAGTTGTGCTTCTGAGTCATTTTGACACTTCTGAAAATCCCAACCCAATGTCTCAATGCCAAATCTGGGTCTAGTCCAATAACAATTCCCATGGCCTTTTGGAGTACGAACAACATTTGTGGGACCTGGTTTAAGTTTAGATGGGTTACTTTAAGTAAATACTTGCATCAGGTATTTTAACCAAAATGCTATGCTGTCGCATGGGACAGTTCCACAAGTAGAAGCAAGAGTGAGCGCAGTGGTGTAGACAAGACAGAAGCCTTTTTACTGCTGCGCCATCCAGGCTTCCTCAGAGCGAGTCCATGCAGCTCAGCAGTAAAAATAGCAGTGCCTGCTAGTGCTTACTGCTTACTGTACAGTAATGCTTTCTGCAGTGCTTCTATTGGCAAAGCTGCAACAGTTGGAAACCTTCAGGCAAACTCTGCATAGGTGAGAGACTTCACTGTAGCTAACACACCTTCCAAAGGCAAGTTGCCTTCAAGGCATATTCAGACCCCTTACTGCTTAGCTATATTTCTCTGTGTGCGTGGATGCATGTGTTCACATACATTTATGTAGGCATATGGTATATGTATTTTGCACATATTTATATTTCCCCTTCTGTGCTATTATTGTACAGAGGCAGACAGCACATTCATGCGCATTCTTGGGTTCACCAGTATGTGTGTTTATATATATAGAGAGATATATAATTGTGTGTGTATATGTATATATATGTCTGTGTGTATGAGAAACAGATGCACTGTAGGCAGATAAAGCAGATAAATTTAGATTCAAATAGAAGCATAAGTGTATAAATATAGACACTATATAGAGTGAAAGCAAGCAGATCAGCACAGTTTCATTATTACTTGCATTCTGTATAATAAAAGAGGAGCTGACATTGAAATGACTGAATGTCTGACACTGTGAGATTGCAGAAGAACATAGTATAAGGTAAGAAAATAACCTTTCTCTCTAGCTTGAGGAGCAATTAAGCAAAAAGATTTTATGCCTTTAATTATTGCTTGATAAAAGTTTTTGCATGTTCATTTTGAAGAGGGAGGCTGGAAAGTAGGTACAGATTTGTCATTTTACCTTATTATAAGGAGATAAAATAAATATCTTGACCCAGATTCTGTGGAAGGGGAAGTGTCCCATCTAGCAAATGCGACACCCTATTTCTATTTTTATAATGAGCCTTATGCCCAATGATTGTCAACTCTCTGCTGCTTTTGGTACTGGTCAGTCTGCTTTCTTCAGGTTCTGCCAGTCTCTGAAAGCTGACTTGTGTGGAAAATCTTGAGAGGAAAATTTAAAGTACATGAAAAAAATCACCATTCCTAAAATTCTGTTAGAGTGATGTGTATAAATATCACATTGTTGTATTCCATTTGTTAGTTGTTTTAAGTTTGCTTTACTGATGAAGACACCTTTTTGTTGCTCCAGCTAGCCTGGCAGGGCAGCCCAGATTTCAGATATCTACAGCACTGGAACTATGGAATTGGGTATTTAGAGACAAAAGGGTCCTCTTCATATTAGGTTTAAATTGGTCCATATTTCTTGTAATTCAGTTTGATTAGAATACACAGAAACTTTTCTTCTTGTTTGGGCCTTTCAGACAGCCTGGAATTCCTGGGGCTTTCCAAAAGACTGTAGTTATGTTCCTTCTGTTGGTAAATGGGATCATCAGAGGGGCAATTGGAATATGGTTGAAGTAAAGGACTAGGAGCCCAGAGTTTTTGTTTCCAGCTGTGCCATTGATTCAATTTGTGACCTTTCCAGGCTACCTTGACCTTTTTGTGCCTTTTCCTCTACTTGTAAACTGGACTGATTCAAGTTCTCACAGGGATGAAGAAAGGAATAGTAGCTTCCTCTGTGGATAGTCTATATTTATGAACTAAGGTATTGCTCAGCAGTGGTAAAGGAAGTTGAATATGGCTCTCTGTATTTGCAAAGATGTAAAGTGCACATTATTATTATACTACATTTACATCTGCAAACAGCCCATTTGTTTGTACCTTGTTTAATTATTTTCAAATAATCCCATTAGCTGATGAGCATCTTCAAGTTTCTCTGACTATTCTGACAAGTTTGATATAAAGCAGAAGAGAAAATAAACACCAATATGTGCACACACAGAGAATGTAAGCAACATTAAGGGTGTGACAAAGCTTAAATAGTAGGAAATTCAAACAACAGGCTGGCACTTCCTTCATGATGTACCTTCTTCCCTCGGGTGTGAATATTGATAATTTTATGGTACATCCTAAAAGACCACCTGTAATTCCCTTGCTGAACATACACCTGGCTCCTGTTACTGTTACTTTTGGAAGTCACTGTGTTTGTGGAGTCCTGTTTTGGGGCATGTTCAGACTAATGGTAAAAAAAAAACCTGGAACTCGGGATGCCTGAGTTCTATTCTTGACTCCGTTGCTGACTCACCCAAGTCACTTAGTACTCATTTCTCAAACTAGGGTGCCTAAAGCTAAGTGCTTAGATGTGTGTTTTGACACTTAAATGCCCATATTAGGCAGCTAGTATTAGCACTGATTTAGGGGAAGATTTTCATATGTCTAAGGCCAAATTTTCACAAGTGTTGTGGTGCCTAAAGATGCACCTTTCTGCATCTTTAGGCACTTCAGTACCTTTGAACATTTTTCCCTAAATGATTTAGGTGCCCATAGCCACTTTCCAGCAGGATTTTAGCTCCCAAATCACTTAGGTGTTTCTGAAAATGTTGACCTGAGTACTTAAATGTTGATTTATGCACCTATGTTCAGGCAGCCAATTTGGAAAATTGGGATTGATTTCCACTGTGCTTAATATGTTGTGCAAAGTGTATCACAGAGCTGTTGTGAGGCTTAATGGATACTTTCAAAATATTTTAAGGTGCCTGAATTAAACAAAGAGGAAGGTCTTAACTGAAAGTTTGGGTGTGAATAACCATGTTCTGGGGAAGTCTCCTTTGATACTGGCAGTTTTGATTCAACATTAGGAGATTTGCAGTGTGGCACTATCATTCTTCTGCAAGCTAACAGAGAAGGGAATGTGCTTTACCCATATTTTGAGTATCCCTGAGTTACTTGGACTTCACCACAATGTCATGCCTGTTTTTATTATACATTTTAAAAGTGGCATTAAAAGGACACAAGACTTGTATAAAATGCATATGTTCAGCTATGGCATTTTCAAAGACTCTTAGGGCGCATCTACAAGTGGCTGTATGGTGCCTCTGTTACTGTACCATCGTTTATTACTTCCTTTTGGAAGTTTATAATGGAAACACTGATACAACCTCGGTTATGCTGTTCTGGCAGGGTTGACCATAGTAACCAGGGACCTTTTTCCTGTCTCTTTCTTCTCTAGTCTCCTTGGACTTTGTTTACTGAGTCCTTGCTTGTTGCACTGCTGGTACGTTTTGGCTACAACGATATTGGAGCTCTATCAGTGTGCAGCAATCATTAGGAAGCACACCAACTCACGGGGTTTTTTTTATCTTTTCTTTATTTCTTCCTAGCTTCTGCTGTGTCATGGTCATTTCCAAATTGGTGGAGCCCAGCAAGTTCATGTGAAACAGAGGAGCCTGTAGGCGGAAAATAAAGGTAAATGCCAAAGCAAAACATGTTTATTACCTCCTGTTTCACTGTAATGAAAATAGTTTTACAATTCGTCTGCAGTGGGATGGAAACTCCCTAACTAGTAGAACTAGCCCTGCATTTATTTTTCTGTCGCTGCCATTTTTATATTCTCTCTTACTCATTTTGTTGTTATGTGACCCCAGCAGGCTCACACTATGTTCATCCCTTTTGTATGGTTATTGAAAGACACTATATTAAGAGAATGCTACGATTGCCTCATTAAGACTTTGTTTGTTTATAACCTTAACTCTGCTCCTTGTACATCTGCCATAAAATACCTTCTTTAATTACAGGATCACATGCTATTTCTCAGCAAATACAACTTAATTTACTGTTTTCTACAATCTCGCTAAGAGAAGACTCTCTTGCATGTGTCTGTTACTTCCAAATATATCGCATGAAATAAGAACCACATTAGTGGAAGGTGATGTTCATTTGTTTAAGACTAAGGTTGTGGAAAAAAATGATGGTCCAGTATTATCTGAGAAATTAAGGAGAGCAACTTAAGTTTGTGCATGCTGACCTATTTGGGGGATTTCCTGACTTTGAGCACTTAGCCATGCATACTCCTAACCACATTTTTTGAGGGAAGAAAGAATAAAAGTTCATGGTAGGTAATTATTCCACTATGCATTGCCTTCTTTCCAACCCAGAATACCCTGTCTGCACAAGGTATGTGTTCAATGAGAACAGGGGCAGCTATAGCTACTTGCCTCTTTCATTATATGGCAGTCTCAATAAGGTGGCAGGTCTTAATAACCTTTAAGACCTGGTTCTAGTACTATTCCGATCACTAAGCCTTGCATTGACTTCACAGGGATCAGAGTTAAGCTATCTGTGGGATCCTAGTATATGAAATTCTTAACCGTTTGAGACAATGCACATTAGAGGCAGGATTCCTGCCAAATTGCCAATTTTCACCTTATGTACCCAGCTCCTGCAGTGACACTGGCATGTAAAACCAAGTTTGCAGTAAACATTTATCAATAGGTAAAAGGTCTGAACATTCCACCTCCCCGCCTTTCCCCCACTCTCCTTATATTCAAAACAAATGAACATTGTTCCAGCCTTCCTCCAAATGCTGACTTTAGACAGACACCAGGTCTAGAAGCAAAACTTTCAGAAAGTTTCAAGTGACTGAAAACAGGTTGGTTACAATGGAAACTAGTCCTTCCTTTGCTGCCATTTGCTCCATAGCTGCCCAGCTACAAGATATATTGAGTTAGGGCCTAAACAGAGTAGGAACCCACACATCTTGAGGCAAATTTGGGTCCCAAGCATAATTCACGGCAGAGTGCTCAGATATTTATGTCTAAGCACACGTACATGCTCTTACTTGGAGTTACTCTGATTAACATGGGAACTGAGTTGAGCCCAATGTCCATTTTTTTATTTCTATATGTCCCCTACATCTCTTATGAAAATATGACACATCTCAAGCCTTATGCCAGTGACCTATTGACTCTGAGGTATTGCTTGTGACTTCTATGGATCAATCCTTTTAATTAGCATTCTCCTATTCAAGAAAGGAAATATACCTTAGTACATTTATCTAGATGATCTGCTCAGGTCCCTTCTGACCCTAGAAACTATGAAACTATGAAACATTTTTATTGTCCCAGTCTTTCTTAATGTATATGCCTAGTGCAAATTACATGCCTTGTTCCCCCTTTACAAATATTTTTACTTTAGTAATTTAAATATCAGTTTTACCCTAAAACAAACCAAAAAAGTTAGGCAGCTTGTGACTTTGTCTGATAACCTTTTCTGGAGTACTTTTGCTGCATTTTGCCCTGACCAGGAGAGAACAAAATTAATGAGCACATATAAGTAAGGAAGAGAAATGCAAGATCATTCTCCCTATCTCTGTCTGATCTAATAGCTCAACAGAGATCCAGAATGAATGGGAACTCATAGTATTAGTAGAGATGGCCCTGGGGGGGATGTAATAAAAAAAATGGGAAAGTTTAAATAGAATCTTTTGGTGGTGGTGGTGTTCAGGGGATTAATTAAATACTATTCTTAAAAACCTTTGAATAGAAAAGGGGGTTCATATATTCTTAGATTGAAAGCTCTTTGGGACATGGTAATGTGTCTTATTGTTTATTACCCATTGTAATTAAGGGAAGCTTTGCCATTGAGCTCAGCGGGAGACAACAGGCAAAAGAGGATTTTACCCGGGCGGTATATGGGAGTTGACATATGTATAGCTTGGAGGATTGGGCCTATAATAGTAATAATAATAGTTAGCTGTTGTCACAGGTTTCTTTACAAGGGAACTGTATAACATATAACCTCTGTCCATTAAAGTGATTTCCCATTTCATGGGTTGATTATGGTAAAGAAAAGTTACCATAGTTCATCCTACTGTTTTTGCAGGATGTAATGTTGTATAAGGTGCACAGAGCTCCAGGCAGCTTGTGAAAGCTTACAATACATATCTGGAGAAATGGGGAAGGACTCAGTAAACTTTTGGAAAATGAGGGTGCTTATCAGTAGCGAGGGGGAAGAGAATTTTACCTGCAATTAGATGCATTTGGCTGATCATGCTTGTCATTATAATTATGGAACTATGACTGCCCAAGTTTGTTTTGCTCTGTGGCCAGATGTAGATGTTATACTTCTACTGGTGTGAAGGATTGGAAATCAGGCTACACCTGTAAAAGAGCAAAATTTCAGCACACAAAACCTGTCTGTATCCATAACATAACAGAAGTTCAGCACACATAGATTGATTTTAAAAATGGTCTAAGATTTACCCCCCCACCAAACACACACACAGAGAAGGGTTCTGTTTGATACCGATCTAAACTTTGCCAAAGGCAGAAAACTGAGTAACATAGATCAATTCTGCCTTGGGCTTTTTGAGTGTTTGTACCTAGCCTGCATGTTTGGGATGGGGAGGTCCCAGCAAATGAAAATGGCAGTGGGAAAGGAAGAGGCAGATTGGAACATGCCAAGTTCTCCCTCTTAGGCAGGGTGTAAGATAACAGGTGGTGACATCCATATCTCTGCATCCCTTCTTGAGGAAATAAATCAGAGGGGGATGCATTCAAACATTAGAATGTGTGGGCATCGCTGCTTTCTCTTTGTCACCAGTTCTACACTCTATTGCAGAGCCTGTGCCTCCTCTTGCTTTGGCTATCTAGTGCAAGAGCTGCCATAACTGCCTCTGGGCCCAATTTTAATTCAAATGCTTTTAAAAAAACAATGTTTCCAATAGTGTATAATGAGAGAGGTGAGGAGTGGGCACAGAAATTAAACCTTTATACCTGGCATCAGTGTCCCATCCCTGTGTTGGGGGCTGAGTCCCTCTAAATGGTTCTTCCCCTGCTACCCATCTAGTGCTCCTCTCTCCTGCCCCCATGCACACTTCTCTGTCTTTCACCCCATGTATGTCTCACTCTTAGTGCTCTGAATTCATTACACAGAGTAGTGTAAATCAATAGTAAACGCTAGCCGCCCACTCTGTACTCAGTTACGCAACATCACATACTGCGTACACAGAAAAAGGGAAAAAGCACACACAGCCTTTACATTCAAAAGCTCTTGCATAATTTTATTTTTCTGCAGCCAAAAAGAAAAAGGAAATAACAGATGGGGAGACTCTTTTTTTTTTCTCCCCGCTTCTCAAATTGTTTGAGAGCAGAGGTACTTTAACATCCAGGGCCATTTCTAACTGCTCTAGCCTGCAGCTCAGCAAGCCATTGTTGCCAGGGTCTTAACTTGCTTTTAAAATAGGACTTTCTTGACCCTTCCTGGTGCATGGTGCACTTTCCAGGTAATACAAGAAAAGCTCGTGTGAATGGTCTAAGGCTGGATGGGTTATTTACTTATGGAAAGAGGGGGTTAAAAATAGCAAGTCAAACTACTTGGCATGTCTCAAAATGTGGAAGGGCAAAATGAGGATCAAGTGAGGCTGGATTGACTTCTCCGGATTTTTTTCTTTCCTTTTCTGAAAGCAAAATATTTCTTGATGTAATATTTATGTAAAAAGCCAGTTATGTAACCCTTGTTTGCCTCTTGCTTTTGTTACCTCACTGGACTGTACAGCTCTACTGTTTTTCCTCACGACAAAATGTATTCAGACCTGCAAATCCTGATGAAAAGGAAGAATGTCTGGGTGCCCACAGCACAGACTTTTATTTCTAGCCTCTTTAAAGGCTTCAGACCAGAAGACAATGGATCTATTTAAGATCTTTTTTTAGCTGGTGGAATTCTTATTGAGTATTTTCCTGTCACAGTGTTCCCTCGAACATCTGTGACTTCTGCACTGCATGTCTTTTTTCTCTCTCTCTTTCTCCCCCATCCCCCTAACTTTGGATGCAGACAATGAAAGCTTTCTCCCCCACCCCTCCAAAGCTCACCCCAACCATTCAATCATTCACCAAATGACAGTGGCAAGTGCGGAAACATAGTAAAATTATCTGCTGGACCAAACGTCTGTTTATTAGTTCTTTTTCCTGTAAAATATTTTGTTTCATTTAAGTGATTGATGTCCACAGATATCCAGCAATTCTTCTGATAAGGGTGGTTTATTGTATTTTGTTTTATTATTCACTTCTGCCTGTCAAATAGACATACAAAGTAAAGCTTTGTACATCTGTATGAACTGTTCTCTCCCTGGAAAGAGGCACTAAGAGCAGGGATTTTGGGAGATGTGGAAACAGCAGAAGGGATTGTTTCAAGGAAGTTTGATGTTCCTTGATTTTTTTTTTTAAAGGAAAATGTTTTTCCACATTTATTGAAACATATGGATCTTTACCACCTTCATCCAATGAAAACTCTGGCCCATTACTCCCTACTGGTGTACCTTCTTGGTCAGATTTTCCTCGATGTAAGTTTGTGAATTGTGCTGATGATATATCAAGGGTACGCTGGGCCATATACAAAGTCACAGGACCTGATTTTCTGTTATAACAAAAAACTGCTCAGGGTCTGAAAATAAACCATATCATTCACTT